ATGACATAGATGATAATGATCGCGATGATGATTAAAGTAGCATCATGGGGAAGATAGGTATGATAGAAAAGATGATAGTCGTCCTTTTGAAGACCATTATCGTAATCCTGACTGTATGATCACTGATCATACTGACCGCGATGTAATGATCATAATGATGAAAGTTGCTAGGGTAATTTTAAATATCGTGTGTCAAACGAAAGATGAGACCATGGCCTGTGTAATTTCCAACGGCGACGCGTTCGCGAACTGAGAATACGTGGTAAGCGCAACAACGCAACAACAACACCTTATAAAGACGTCCGCTGGCAAATGTGTAAACGAGCCAGCTTTCCAGTGGAAAAGCAGTGGTCAAGACATTAGCCGAAAGAAGTGGAAGAGATGGAGAAATGAAAATTATCTGGGACACAATGAGTCGAACCAATATCGTCGAACCGACACGAGAAATATCTTCTCATCGTATTGGTGGAATAGGTAAAAAAGAGGGAACAAATCATGCATAATAGTCTGCGGTAACGTCGTTGCCTATGGGGCGAAAAAGGAGGTGAAAGTAGTAAAGGCGAAAGTAAGTAATATGGTGATCGTTGCCCTTGGAGCAGTCTGTATAGACCTTCAAAGCTCAATAAAGTCAATTTATCTGGCATTCACGATCGAAGAACTGAAGAAAGCGACGTCTATAGGAGCAGCACAGATTTTGATTTTGAAATGATTACTGCAACTCTCTGACCCTTGGTAGAGGGTAAGAACGGTCGAGATTCTCATACCACTCATGTAGTGTTTCGTAGAATGTAATTAAAATAAAACATGAGGATCATCATCATGGTAGTCACCGTCGTTATGATGAACAAGAGGAGCAAGAACGGGACGACGACGATGCTCATGATGGGAATTCTGATTATCATGGTCATGACAATAATGACCGTGATGGTTATGTTCTTCATTTTGGGGGAAGGGGCAGGTTTATCCGCACTGAATCTAAATGGTTTATTTTGCGAGATAGTTTGGGTTTTACATTTTATTTGGAGAGGAAGGAGAGCGAACTCCGCTGATGCCGGTCCCAAACCCGGTTCAGAAAGGAGGAGGGTTGCAGACCTTGGCGAAATCTCCATCAAAGTTCGCCACATGCTACTCACGATATTGACGCCATCGAAAATCATACATCTTCGGTCGTCACCCGGGTTACCAAGGGCCGCGCAGACTGATTCGGGACAGAGACAGACTGCGAAAAGTCGGCGATTAGAACCTCCTCATTGTTCTCATCCAACCGGGGGCGTAGCAGCACAACAACGTCTGACCATGACCGAAGGAACGGCGACGAAGATACCACTCAGCAACGGAGTCGCTACCCGTTCTGAAAGGAGGAGACAGATAGCGCAACGCCATTACAGCACGTCAGAAAAGGCTCCACCAGAACGGCACCACCAGTGGGAGCTTAAAGTCGGAAATTGGAACATATCCTCACTCAGAGGAAAAGAACAAGAATTAG